CCCCCCCCCCCCCCCAAAACAAAATACAAAACCTATATCCCTCCCCTCAAATTGCTTCTTGGGGAAAGACAACGATTCCCCTCCCTGCCTGTAGGCTGAAGGAAAGAGGTCACAACACACCTGTACCATGGACAGCACACATGGATACCAATCCCACATGGTTAACTAAAGGCTAGTTAACAAGAATATTATATATTACGCTTCTCTTCTCTGATAGGCAACACATCGCAGAACAATTCACATTCATAAGCTTGGATTTAGATCTCATTTATAAAACGGCAGATACAAGGAAGAAACCCTTCACTTTTTATAGTTACCCCCAAATCAAATAGGCAGTCTCAAATACGCAGATTAATAAAGTTATCCAGCACCTGGCTACAGATCTGTAGCCCAAAAGATTATCAACATTGTAGGAGTTTGTCAGTTATGAGATGTAATCACTAGATTGCTATGTGGGGTCAGCACAAACCTAGACATGGTGCAACTGGTCTCTATATCTCATGCTGGATATCCATAAAGGGGTGAATATCACCCACACAACTGAATCCAAAGCCTACTGAAGTCAGTGGGAGTTTTTTATTTGATGCCAATGGGCTTTGGACCAGGATTTCAGTGAGCAAGTTATTAGACAAACAAGATGAACCTGCACTTCCACAGCATATAGACCTGACAGATCAGAAAGAAACAAAGAAAAGCTAGGGTTCCAAAATAATGATACCCTACCAGGTGACTAGAGGTTCTCCTGGATCCTACATACAATTAGCACTCACACATGGTGGGTGGTGTTCTCTAAAGCATTCTCCCACTAAAAAAACCCTAAGGAAGAGAAGTTGTAAAACTTCAAAAGGCCTTATGAACAGCAAGGGAGCTCCACCTACGATCTTACCAAACAAATGATACATTTTCCTTTGGGAACAAGAAGTTCCAGGGATGCATCCAGAAGTATAAATGCCAGTTAATACCCATTTTGATGGAAGAAAGCAGTGACGCATTGTGCATGTAATAAGATAGGAGATTGAGGGAAAGAGTAACTTGAATAGAACATTTGCCATGATGGGGATAGTCAGCCTTTTCCACATATGACCACTGACAGGTTCCCCGAGCAAGGGCAGTGACTGGTTCCTTGGTCTACAACAAGGTGAATACTGGCAACCACGCACAAAATGAAATGTTCCAACAGTGACATACAAAGCTCTAGATGCAGCACAGGCTTACAGCACAGATCATTTGCAGTCATGAGGAGAGGATTAAACCCCCTCCCCCAAAAAAACAAAACACCCAAAGATGGGGGGGAATGCAAATGATCTTTTCAAATAATAATAACGATGATGATGATGATGATAATGATAATAATGAAGAGACCAAGAGAAGAGATGATCCAGGCAGCATGACAGCCACTTGCTGTTTAAGGCCATTGATTTCCTGTGGGATAGTTGGGCACTGTGGGATACTCTGGCAGGCTGTTTCCAGAAAAATTATTATACTGAGCTTCCCTGCTCGGGGGGTCCTTCCAAGCGCCACTGTTCCACTCATCCTGGGCTTTCTGAAAGCTTCCACCACCTCCTCGGTAGATTTTATGCACCTAAGGGATAATCAACAAGGCAAAGGAGAATTAGCAGAAGGCACCCAGCTTCCCTTCTGACAGTTGCCTCAGTCACTTTGTTAATGCCTAAAAATCAACTAGTCACCTCTAGGACTGACCAACATATTTGACAGTAAGAATCCAGTTTAACAGCAGGAGCAAAACCACACAAAGACACTAAAAAGAATATTGCAACAGAGGGCAGAGAAGCAGTAAGTTAAGATCTACACATGGTATCTAGTTGATGTACACAGGTGCGGGAAGGAACATGGCTGAGAAATCACTCTGCCATAACGCCCGTTAGTGTGTGAGGGGAGTGGCATTAGCCACGACCTCCAAGACAGCTGTGTGCTTCCCTACGCCAGAAGTAAGCCAAAATATTGTGTTTGATGAAACAGCTCTAGACTCTAAAACTGACCTCTTCCTTCTAGTTTTTTTTACTCTCACAAAGCTCAGAATAATTCTACAGCAGCCTCTGCGGTGGTATTACTTATGACAGTCTCTCTCCATCTGTTTCTTTATGTGGTAAACTTTTAAGGACAAAAATACTTCCATGGACTGCCTTCCTTCCCATCACTCCAACGCTTCAAGGGTATGAATCTCAAGAGCTGTCGTTTCTGGAATTTGTGACTGCCCATAAAAAAAATAAAAATAAAAAAATCTCAGCTGCATCTAGGTATGTGCAATTGTATGGGACAGAGGGAACTCCCAGTCTTTGCCCTTTACCTGGATTCATTCTCTAATGAACACGGGCAGCATCTCGACTGACTATACTTGGGCAACTTTAAAGGGAGAGGGTTAGTTCTTACAGGGGCCATTCAACTGATGATTCAAATCCTTGCTCAACAAAATGAAGTGGCAATTTTAGGGATTCCTTTGGTCAACTATAGCCTGGAAATGCAGGGACTGGGCTCTGTGGACCAAGAGGCCCTTTCTAGATCCAAAGCACAGATAGATACTTCAAGGCAGAAAGGCACCAAAAGCACCTACCTTTAGGAGACAGAAGAACATTGCAACTGCACACATTGTGAACATGATGGCAGGAAACAGCATGAACACAGCAGCTGCAACGTTGGTACTGAAAAAAGTAGCTGCTGCTAACCATCCACTGGAAAAAAGTGAAAAGGAGAGGGCATCACTGCAGTGTCTGTTTTCAGACACACAATTGTTACCAAGGAGACTATTCAATCCCACCCTAAAAATGTGAGAGAGAACAATGAGAACAGCAGCCAGAACCAGATGCAGCACAGAGCGATGCTTCCCCAGCACTTTGCTGTTAGCAGACTTCAACCCTGAGCCATCATATCCCCTACTCCGCTATTTCAAGGCCACTAAAGCTGACCAGTGACATAGCAGGGCCTTAAGATGTAAACATCGATCCATAAGGGAACCAAATTTATTTTTACTTGTGCAAAGGTAACAACAGTCTAGTGGAATGAAGCTGGGGCTCAGAATTGGGACCTTCCGAGTCCTATAACTTTGCATCTTTAAAATGATGCTGATACTATATGCTGGGATTCAAGAAGCATTGTGGAGATTAGCGTTAAGAAAGAGTGGCAGTATCAAGTGCTGGGTTTTGGTATTATACCAGGCTTTCTTCTATTATTTTACAATGATATTTTCATTCAATTCCTTCATCAGGACTCTAGAGATGGAGGGTTAAATGACCAACTCATTGGGCCTTAAACTGGAAACGGCTCATTCAAGTACCCTCCCCTTAAGGATGACCCTCCTGACTCTTGCCCTGTGGAAGTGAAGTGGCACATGCTGTGTGTACCCGGGGAGGATGTTAAGAAAGGATAATGTGACTTGGTCTCAGCACTTATGCTTCTCAGTGGCTGGGTGTGGAATTGCATTGCAAGTTCAGTATTAGCTGTTTGTTTGCTATGGCACAGCCATATGGAAGGAAAAATAGGCATTTGTGGAGGGCATGCACCCCTGAAAGTACCAGAAGGTGAAGATTGTGACTGCATATCATCTTCAGTCTTTACCTGGGGAAGGTCAAAGGAGCTCAGATTACATCCTGCACCAGACTAGGACCCTTTAATTTTCCAGTCTCCTTTCCTGCCCCTCGCCCATCTCTCACAATCTCCATCCCCCTTAACACTGAATGGCATTTAACACATGAAAATGCAAGACAGGCTAAATCTTCAGGACAGAGTCTCTGCAACAGGCACCTAGTTCAAGACAGACAGAACAAGTGCTCAACAAGAGACCCTGGGAGCATTCCACTTACCACGCTCCCCATCTAGAGATACCAATCGCTTGTATGAAGGTGAGAATAAACTGGGCGCCAAAGATGAAGAAAAAGGCCATAAAATTAAAGGAGCTGTCAGACCTGTGAAGTGAAGGAGGAAGTTATGAGGAACACATGAGCTTTATCACTTTGTACTGTTCCAGGCTATGCTGTTTGTGACCCCTGCCATGCAAGCACAGACTATTGTGGTTATCAAATCCCTGTGTGATTCTGCACTTTGAGGACCACCCCTCCAGTGATGACAGCACATGAATCTGCGTATCATGAGAACTTAATCCCTCCTAATAAACCTGGGTCTTGCAGATGATCGGACAGTAATTATACTTATGACGACATGCTGAGAGGTGTGGTTTACCACTAATAACCTGCAGCCTCACGTGGAAGAAAAAGCACTTGCGCCATTAACTGAATGTCTGAATTCAGTGCAGCCCAATCCTGGGTGTAAGCACAAGACCATGACAACACATGGGCATAAGCACAGGCCACCAGAAAGATGGTGATTGCATCTATAGTATATACACACAGAATGAGAAGCCCAGCTGGGAATGCCTCAGTGGCTGTTTGCCGTCAGCTCACGTACCTGTGGTTAAGAAGATGAACTACGATAATCTGGCCCTAGGATGGATTAGGAAGAAAAATAGCTCTGGTATCCACGTAAGAACAACATTTGGGCCCCCTGAGCTGGGTGGTAGATTGCCTGGGGAGGGTGCGTGTGCAACGTGCAGTATAAATATACTTCCGAGGGAGGACAGCAGCTCTCATAACTAGATGTGCTTCAAGGCCTCTGAGATCTGACCCAAACAAAATGTCACATTAGCAGAGCCTCTACCATCAAATATATACTCCCTTCTAACAATACCTCCCCTAATTATCCATCCTTTGGTAGGGGACACTTTCACTGCAAGCCTAATTAAGCTCTGAGCCCTCTCATATCTTGGGGGGGCTATTACTTTTAACCGTGCAAATGAATGACATCACATTCATTTAAATACAGAAGCTGGGAGGGTTTATGACCTCTGGAAAGACTTATGAAGGGAACTCAATGGAAAGAACCAAGACAGAGGCAGACAGGCGCAATGGGGATTTTAACAGTACCAGTGTCAGATTCCCAACTCCCCCGGAAACCAAATGGAAGTTAGGGGCCATGGGGAATTGAATGCTCAAACATCTTCGGTGCCTAAGTACTTCTTGCAAATCAGGCCTCTGGCAGCTGAAGCAGAAGACTGGGAGTCAGGAAAATGGTTCTTGACTTTCTAAATGTCACAGATATTTTGGCTGATTTTGAGTAACTTGGAAGCTCAGGATGGATCCTCACTTGCAGGGCACTTTATGCAGTTATTTACACCTGTGCCAAGTGGGTGTAAATAGAGGATAAATGATTACACAAGGTAGATTCATAGATGTAGGGTTGGTAGGGACCTTGTAGATCTAGTCTGACCCCCTGCCCTGGGCAGGAGAAAACTGGGCTCAAACAACCCCAGCAAAGTAAACGTCAAGCCTCCTCTTCAAGACCCCCAAGGTAGGAGCCAGCACCACTTCCCTTGGAAGTTGGTTCCAGACCCTAGCTGCCCTGACTGTGAAGTAGTGCCTTCTAATGTCTAGGCTAAACCGACTCTCTAACAACTTATGGCCATTATTCCTTGTTACTCCAGGAGGCGCTTGGGGGGAACAAAGTCTCTCCCAATCCCCACTGGTCCCCACTAGTAAGTTTATAGACGACCACCAGGTCCCCCCTCAGCTTCTCTTGCAGAGGCTGGACAGGTTAAGGTCCCGTAGCCTCTCCTCGTAGGGTCCGCCTTGCTGCCCCCTGATCATGCGAGTGGCCTCCTTTGGACCCTCTCAATGCTGTCCACATCCCCTCCTGAAGTGCGGTGCCCAGAACTGGACACAATACTCTAACTGCGGCCTGACTAGTGTCGCATAGAGGGGGAGTATCACCTCCTTGGCCCTGCTTGAGATGCATCTATGGATGCATGACAAGGTACAGTTAGCCCTACTGACTGTGTCCTCGCATTGTCAGCCTATGTTCATCTTGGAGTCAATAATGACTCCAAGATCTCTTTCTGCCACTGTGCTTTCAAGAAGGGAGTTTCCCAGCCTGTAGGTCTGCTGCTGGTTCCTACTGCCTAAGTGCAGCACCCTGCACTTGTCAGTATTGAATCCCATCCTATTTTCATTTGCCCACCCCTG